GCCCCCGCCCCCGCCGCCGCCGCCGCGCCCTTGTGCGCGCTGCCCCACTGCCTGCTGACGGCGCTGTGCTGCGCCTCGCTGCTCGTCATGGCCGCCATCGCCGTGGACCGCTTCACGTCGCTGGCGCAGCCGCTGCGCTACAACAACCTCATCACGCACCGCTCCGTCGAGCGCTACATCGCGGGCCTCTGGCTGTACGCCGGACTCGTCGGGGCCGCGCCGCTCGCCGCCAGGTGAGCACTACAGTTGTAACCAGTAAAATTTAACTTTCGTGTAATACTGTGCGAACGTAACAATAATTAAAGGTTTCTTTCATGCCATCAGCATACTCACTTTGCTGCTTGACTTGCAGGTTGTGGGGGGCCGGCGGACTGGAGGCGTCGCAGACGTCGGCGTGCTCGGGTGGGTCGCTCCTGCGACCGCCGGGCGTGGCCGTCTTCCTGCTGTGCGCCGTGTACGCGCCGTGCGTCGTGCTGGTCGTGGGCAGCTACGTGTACGTGTACCTGGTGGCCAGAACGCACCACCGCGCCATCTACAGCGTCGAGATCTCGCTGCGCCACGCGCACGACGGCAGCGACGCGCCCTTCGCCTCGCGCTACACGTCCACGCTCGCCATCACCGTCGGCCTGTTCGTGTGCCTGTGGCTGCCGTTCCAGGTGGTGATGGTGGTGGACCTGGTGCGCGGCTCGCACCTGCTGTCCTCGCTGCGCGCCCTCTGCCTGTCCCTGCCGCTGTTCGCCTCCTCGGCACTCAACCCCTGGGTGTACGGCTACCGCAACGGCGAGGTGCGCGCCGCCGTGCAGCGCGTGCTCAACGTAAGTACCTCGAAGAGTTCCTCCTCTCCAGGATCTTTAAAGTACCCGGGTAAAGTGCCCCGACCACGAACGTTTCCCCCAGGAACGTTACAGTGCACCAGGTAAACGTGCCTCGACCATCGACCATGACATGAACGTGTGATCCCCAGGCAGGCGACGCTTATGAAAACGCCTGTGACACGCGGGGTGGGCCAACCCGCCAAGCGGCTGTGTGAGGCCTGCGGCCCGCCCTGAGAACACGAAACGTTTCTGTTTATCGCCCAGTGTTCTCTAAATAACGTTCCTATGCGTCAGCTGGAGGATCCGTTAGTTGTGGTGGCATCTCCAAGAAGGGGTAGTTATTAACTTATTGTGGAACATATGGAGTTTGCTTCGTAAAAAAAAAAAAGATAGGCTTTTGGAATCTTATTTTGAGTGTGTACCAAAAATCCCGATCCCACTGAGTGCTAAATGAAAATGACTAAAGGATATCAAAATCTAAACGATATCGGGAGGGCCTTGATTTTACATTCATATATTTATGACATCGACCGCCAAGTGCTCTGAGATTTCCCCAACAAGTTTTCTCCCACAACTGGGGCTGGAAAGTGAACCGTGCACTCGCCCTCCGCCGGACGGCGCCGAGTCGGAGTGCCGTTTGCTGTGCTATCGACGGACTGCCCTATCCCCATCGCAGGCGCATAGAGCAGCCGGCCAAGGGCTGTTTTGGTGTATGCGCAGTGACGTCACTCGGGCTCGTCTCCCCGACGTGCGGGCGGGTGCTTTTTGATCAATATTGTGCAACCTAACGGTCCCGTCCGGCGCCGACCCAACCCCTGTTCACGGGAACCTTCTTGTGCTGCGCAGGAGATGTTCAGCAAGCTGGGCCTGCCCTCGTCACACCTGGGCTGCCCGCACCTCATGACCACCGGCGCCGACGCCGAGCTCAACAGCTTCGCGTCCAACGCCCGCCTCTGCACCATGTCGGCGGCCAACACCAACAACACCATGGTCCAGACCGGCCTGGCCACCCCCAGCGACCACGAGGCCAACAGTCTGTCGCCGCCGGGGAGCGGCAGTGCCGTGTCCACCCGGGCGCCGTCGCCCTCGCCCAGGAAAGGGTCCTCGTCGAGCACTCTGCTCGTGCCCTCCGGCGCCAGGGAGCCCAGGGTCCCGGTCCTGGCGCCCACCGCGAGCGTCATCACCCTGGCCCAGACCGTCATCGAGCTGCGCGTCCCAGTGCCCGTGTCCAACGGGGACGCCTCGCGCTCGCGCAAGAAGGTCCACCACGTATGAAGAGCGGTCAGAGGCTGCAGACTGTAGTACATACTGTGGGTACGGGCTCCAGAGGTAAATAGGGACAAGTAGAACTTCAGTACGCTTCGAGTGTGAAGATTACTTAGGGCCTAATTCGCCCCTACAAAACTCATCACCTGACAGCAGGTGGTGCTCCGAGAGCTGTGCTTCCTTCCGCTATTTATCTCAATTTTAGCTAGTCATTACTTAAAGGGGGTCTACTGTGCGAGTACTGAGATGAGGAAAAGTGTATTTTCTACCGTCGTGAAATAAAACAATTTGTTTATAAAATATGATCTGATATTAATAAACTTAATCAAGAGGACTGGGTACAAATAAGTCAATTTGATATCAAGAAAAAGCAAAAGAGTCTATTTTCAAAGGTCAAGACAAATGATTCAGTCATGCCCTCTAAATGATCAGACCATCAGATGACTCAACCCCAACATTTTATCAGTAAAACAAAATAAATCGTAACAGTTGCTCTTAGGAGCGATCATATAATCCTACATACAACACATGTATGCATAAGTAACAAAAGTCATGCCATAAAATATACTTATCTAAAGTACTTCCAAAATTACAGAAAATAAAATTTCCTCAAAATATTTTTTACAACAGAACAATACTCAAGAAATTATGGCATAGAACTAAAAGAGAAATTGGAGTACCTAAGTAGAGCTCCTCCTTGATAGGTAACATATTATGCACAATCAAATCAAAATCATTCTGATACTGACTTCTTTTTCTTCTTCTTTTTCTTCTCACTGGAAGGTTCTGGAACCTCTTCCTCCATGGGAACATCTTCCACATCCTCTGAAACACTCTTCTTCTTCTTTTTCTTCTTCTTTCCTGAATCTGGAAAATGAAATAAAATAATGTAGAAAATGATTCATACAAACAAAACAGTTCAAGTATACACAAATTCAAATTGGTAAAAAGGACAGATAGATAGATAGTGGCACTCTCGGGGCGGAAGTCACAAATTCAAATTGGTAAAAAGGATGAAGGAAAAACAACAAAACAATATACCTGAAACATCAGGAACTTCAACTGCTTCCTGCTCTTCTTCAGACTGTTCCTTTGACTTCTTCTTCTTTTTCTTTTTCTTCTTGGATGATTCATCTAGTAAAGAAAGGAAACATTAATATATTGTATATTGCCTGTAATTAAACAGTATCAACAACATATTCTGAACAACTTACCATCATCCTCTGGCTCAGATTTAACTTCTGTAACTAAAGATGAAGGTCCCGCTCCAGGTTCCAGTTTAATTTTCTTCTTGGGAACTTCTAAAACATGAAGAGATTTAAAATACAATCATGTGAGAGACTCCAAACAAAAATTAAACATCAAATTTATCCAACCAACTTACCAATTTCCTCAACTAAGGGCTTCTTATCTTCTGATTCTGAATGTGATCTTTTGGTGGGTAGAGTGGAGTCAGCAGCAGCAGGATACTGTTTAAATTCACTCTTGCCCTGGTATTTCTCAAACTTAGATTTAGCTTTGCCAGTGCCTGATAACCGACGCAAGTTGCCTTCTTCAAGTAACCTGAGGCGTGATTCTAACTTGACCTTGTGTTCAGCTCCTAGCTCTAGAGTGCTATCTTCTCCTAAAGCATCAAGCCTAGTGCAGAGTGATGCCTTTGCAGCAAGCATTCTGGAAAGCTGCAAGAATATTTTTTTAAAACAAATCTGAAGAAACTCAAATAAAATAAACTAGAAAGATTATTCTTACTTTGCCCTTGTTGGCAGTGCTGGCAGACCCAACTAGTGTTGAATGGTAAATTAAACCATACTTAGGTGTATCCTTTTTAGTTTTAAGAGCCCTGAATAAAGCTTTCTCAGCACCTAAAATTTGCAAGGTGGACGCAGGGGCTTTGGCCAAGTTGACGAGAGATCCTGAAAATCAGAATAAATACCCATTAGGAATTAAGCAAAGAGTTGAGGACTGCTTCATCATAATTATGGTAAAAAATATTTGACACTAGGGACCACTACTTTACCTGAATGGGAAATGAGACGAGCACCAACAAGCTCTCCAAGAAGAACAGTAAGATTGGGGGCAACTGCCATCATTCTTGTTCTCAAGTAGTCATACAGCTGAGTACGGTAAGATGAAATCTCAATCACCTGATAAAGATGGGTTTGATTATTAATAGGAGGAACATTAACATTAAACATGGAGAGAAGGAAAGATTAGCACCTTACCTGATCACAAAGGTGAAGGATATTTTCTATGTCATCATCTGAGATTTCAGTACCCATAGAAATTTCAGCAGCTTCCTTAACTCTAGCTTCTACATCTTCAGGTAAGATGTCAGATAAATCTGTGCTAGAGGTGTTCTCCCTTGTTCCTGAAAGATAGGCATGCCAGAAAATTAAGAGAAGAAAATGTAAGGTGCATGACACCTGAGAGAGAATACACAATACACACCAATGAGTTTAACAGTTTTAACAAATGCAATGTTGTCAGTGACAATCTTTCCAAGCTCAGGGAAATGCCAGCCATACCACTCTCGGCAGCGCATAATGTAGTTATTGAGTTCCTTGTCCAAATCATCAAGCAAACAAACTGCCTGAACAATCATGGTATCAATTTTGTCAGGTGAGAATTTAAGTTTGTACCGGGACAAGCTAGAAGTAAAAAGTAAATAAAAATTAGTGGTCTTATGAATAAATTAAATACATACAGTATAAATAAATTAAGTAAAAAATATGTACCTGTGAGCAAGACCAAGGGCCATTGCTGTCATTTCTTTCTTGGGTAAGCCAGCCAGTAGACCATCTAATTGAGATCTGATACATCGCATCAACTCTTGAACAGCTGTGTTCGATACACATGAAAGGGAAAGCTTATCCTTGATAGCATTGCCAAGTTTAGCATCAGCAACAAGCAGCTCATTATGAACACCCTCAGCAGCAACTTGCTGAAAAAGATTGAATTAATGAATGGAATGTAGACAAATATATTCAACATGTAAAACATTTGATTTCCTAAAATTACCTTCTTAAGCATTTTTTTCAACATTTTTGATACTTTGCCTTCCACAGCAGCTGTGGTGGCTGCCAGGGCCTCTGTTGTATCTTGAAATTTCTCAAAATGCTTGAGTTTGACACTGCAAGTTAACAATCAATTGAAAGTAAAATTATTTTCACAACTGTAACTACTACAAGAAGCAATGCCGAAGTACTACAGTTTCAAGATACTTACACTTTGCTGGCTGCCTCTGGTGTTTGGAAGTCATTGTAAAGATTCTCTGTCTGGCTAAGTTTCTTCTCGTCGAGGAGCTGAGAAAAAAGAAAAACAATAAATGGAAATACTAAAAAAAAATTACCATGAAAAAGCCTACAACCACGGTAAGCAAGCAAAAAAGTGAGGTTAATATGAAGATCAAAACCAAAAGAATGATTAACGACGAAAGGTGAATCACACACTGAAGATCAAACAGGTAGCACCAAATAAAATTCAAACATGACAAATTCCATGTTAAAACTCTATTGCAAATGAGTCACAGCATACAATTAATGAGATTACACACAACCCCTACAGGCACGTGTGTTACTGAGCATAGCAAATACCGGCGGGTCACTTCGGTCGAGAAAGCGAGTATCGCACTTATTTGAATAAGCAGGGATGAAACGAATTAAATAAGACGAAAGAAAATGGAGGCTTAAAGGCAAAATTAGAACATATTGATCGACTTTTGGAAAAGTAATATCACGTTGTATTCCACCACACGAGGTCCACAGATAACACCTTGCAAAGCGTAAACAAAATGCAGCAGATACAGAAGATTTCCAGCACACAGGTGAGCATACCTTAAAAATAGCGTATCCCGCCGGAGTTTCGAACAACACCAACATCTTGATAAGACTTAAATACAAATAAAATTCTTAACAATTTAACGACTAAGACACAATCGCGGGCATGCCGTGATGCCCCTCACACACACACACAACACGAATCTTCAGGCAACTAACTTCCGCCTGCGTTTTCTTGTTGATCTTCTTCCCGTCTTCTGCTGCAGCACACCGAGGTAGTTCTGGCCATGGTTTTTCAGGGTTTTGTGGTTTTCACTGATTGTACATCAATTGCTTTCATTCAAAAGCTTTAAAAGTTACTTTTTATTTTCTTAAATTGATTACAGACTTTAAAAAGTTTTGACACTGCCTTTTCTATTTTAAATCGTTGGTGATTTGTGATGTTGGTGTCGGTGCCCCCCCCCCCCCCCCTTTTCCCTTTCGAAAACCCATTTGTTACAAATTTTCGCGCCAAATGAAATCAAGCTCAAGCTGCCGATGCCAAAACACAAACAATAGTTGTCTTGTCAGCTGACAGTTCTTTACCAAATTATTGTAGATTTGTATTGTTATGTCGTATGAATATGGACTGTAATAGCGACACTTCAATGCACTCGGACGACTTAAAACCACGACGTACTCCACTACCAGCCATGTTCTCGGTAAGTATTAGAGCATCATATTTTTCCATGTTAACCTTAGCTTAGGTGATGATTGAGAGTGTTGTTGACCGTCAATCCCATCGTGCAAATCCCCTCAAAATGTATTCTTGATGTTTGTTTTGGTCACAGGACATGATCCCACGCCCGTCGGTTCCAGATTTATCAATAATAGAAACATCTCAGAGCAGTGCCCCAGCTCCACCCAATGTATCTGTTCAGTCCCAAACTGTTCTCAATCACCTGTCTTACAATGATTGGCGTTTGAAGACAGGCAATGCTCCATTCAGTGGAGTTGCGAAGAACATTGAAAGAGGATGTGATCCTACTTCTCTGTCATCGAAACACTGTAGTCCTACGATTATGAGTGGCAATGGCTCTCCTCGAGATATCACGGGCTATCCCAAGGAGAAAGTAACCGAACATCTTTCCAACAAACCTTTACCGCCCGTAAGGAAAATTGTGACCTACACTGACTTTCAGAAACGCCCAACAAGTGCTCCTGCTGTGAGAACTCAGCAAGTCGAAAGTGTAGGGGATCATCCTCTTTCCAAGAGTGCTCCACCTACCAGACCATCAAATCTGCATACCCATCACACCTCAGCACCAAATGGATATACCAGTCCCACTGCTGAACCAAATGCGTTTGTCAGCCAAACACATGCTCAGAATGGTTTTCGTAATATTGGTAACATGCACGCCCAGTACCATATCCTGCAGCCACAACCAAATGTTGAGATGCCCGAGTCTCTGACAAACCAACAAGGACCTCATGCTATCAGACCATTTACCTCTGCCAACTTGGATAACTTTGATGTCAGAAGTCAAAACAATGGTCGAAATTCTGAACTTTTAGTTCCTTACAAAGATATGAAAAGTAATGTTCAATTGCCCAGTAATGAGTCATCTTACCACCCACGTCATGCTTACCCGCATCAGGAGAGAAATTATAATGTTCATCCGGCTGAGTACCATCAACTGAGGAAAAGTGGTGGTTCATGGTCCTTTCCAGATCAAGGCTGCTGCATGTCTTCTGTGGCTTGTCATCATCCCAGCCAACTGCACCCATTACACAGTGTTCCTTACCCTCAAGTATCATATGATGAGTTATACAAAATAGTTCTGGCCCAGAATGATCAATTGAAAACACTTCAGGCTCAAGTTGAACGACTGTTAGTGTCACAAGATCAGCAGCAGAGTTCGGCTCAAGCTCCCCTCAAAGAAAAAGAGGTTGAGAAACTCCCAGCATTGAAAACTAACCCTGCTAAAGCAGTAGTTACGGAGGAAGGAACTCAAACCTCAGACTGTGAATATGCCGAGGATGACTGTCAGAAAATGTCAATTGGTGTGATGACAAGTTTTATACAAACTGTCACATATAGAGGCCGAGTAGGGCGAAATAATGTCTCTGAGCATGAAGGCAGCCAGTCAAAAAATAGCAACTCAAGCAAGTCTCCATCCAGTGATGACAGCAGTACAACTTCTGCAAGTTCTACCTCAAAGTCCAGCTCAGACAAAGGTAGAATGTGCTGCAAAGAATGCTCATCAAAAGAAGGTCACATTGACGTGAAGAATCACTCATCCAAACCAGAGAAGGTGAGACAAATCTCAAGGGATGTATCAGAGCAACCGAGAACGGGATCCAAAATGTAAGTTCTGTGTCTTTAATAGAATCGTCTTAGTTTGGAAAAAATATCTCTAAACTCTATTTCTAATTTTTCAGGAAGAAAACCTGTTCTGAAGGATGTAACTGCAACAATCCAGGGGTATCAGCTGCTATATCTGCTGTGAGGGGCTGTCAAGCTGTACTAGCTAGTAAAGCTGGTATGACACCAAATGAGTATTCTACATTTAATGGTGCTGATTTACCCACTGTTACTGAGCAGCCTGTATCTCCCATGTCATCAGTTCATGTTGATTTACCCGACTACCGCAGTTCATCATCTGATGAAGAGCAAGTATTCCTTAAATAATTATTGTGGGTGTAAGGCCTGTAGGACCTTCATTAACTATTTTCCTGATTAGGTCCAACTCCACAGAAAGTGATGATTCTGAAAATTCTGAGGAAAATGACCACAAATTAGATAAGAGTCACGAAACTGCTCACAAACCATTTGGAAGGACATTCTACAATAATGTCTTGGTATGTAGTTTGGTATATTTTTATGAAATTAATGCTTATAAGAACCACTCAATCCTCCCTTTTGGGGAAAAAGTGAAAGTGCACAATAATAATAATAAATAAAAAATAAAAAATGGTAAAGATTGAGTGTTGTACATGTAAACAGTTTGAAATTCACTTGTACACTACTATTTTCCCTCTTGTTAAAATGTGTTGATAAGCTTAGCTCTTTAAAATTTCCTGCAGGGCCAAGTCAATAAAATTCTGGAGGAGCGGGATGTGGGAAATTCTTCCCCAATTACTTCCAAGCAAACTGATGTCAGTGTGTCCAAAAGGTAAAGTGTTTCTCAAATGTTTTTATTCTGTTTTGCATTATTTTAAATTGATTTCCTGTTGGCATGTTTTAATTTTACTAATTCATGAATTTCAGAGTGGCCTTTGAAGCAACAGGTATCAAAGGTGAACATAATCTGAAGGAAATGGCACTAAGATATTTGAAAGAAAATCACCCTGAAGAACTAGCGTCAAGTCTAGAAACTAAAAGTAATCATAACTTAGTTTCATTAAGAAATAGTTTCTTTATTCTTTTGTAAGTTAAATTGGAATTTGCTGGTTTTCAGAGCCCAAGAAGACTCGCGGGGGGAAAGGGAAAGAAAGAGGAAATTTTAACATGCCAGCTCCTAACATGTCATTTGCTACATTTCGCTATTTGGAGCGATATAATCTTCTCCCCGAAAACTTCAACCCTGAACAGTACCTAGGTAATGCACATCCAATCAGAAATTTGATTACTTAGTGCTCCTTGACGTGTATTATGCAAATACTTTTTATATCCCAGAAGAAGCAGCAAACATCCAGGGCTATCATGGCAACACTAAAGAACCTTATCACAGTCCAATTCTCAACAGAGGAAGTGGGAAACAGTCCCGATTGCCATCAGGAAAGGTCAAGTCAAGATCCAACTTTCCACAATTGGAGCCATCAAGGGATATCAATTATCAGCTGCAAACTGCTAACAAGAGTCATCCCAAAGGTCGTACTAACCCAGCTCCACTGCATCATGCATCTTCAAGGAAACATCCTCAGGCAACTACTGCAACCAGTAAAATTCTTGACATCACTACCTTGCGGCAGCAACCCAAATTATTGTGATAAATAGATATATATTTAATTTAAATCTTTCTATTCCTGTTTTCCAGAAGGAACTTTTAAGAAATTTGCTCTGTTTTTATTTTTATACAATACATATGTTGAGATTTTAATTACTACCTTGATTTTTACAATTTTACATGCAATACTGCTTTTGAATAGTTGGCCTTTATCTTTTGAGAACTTTTCCCATCTACATGACTCTTCTTGTACAATAGAAGGGCATGGTAAAAAAGACTAAAACTTTGCAAGACTGTCAATTATTTTAAATTTCTAGATGACTAGAAGACTGAACAGAGATGACAGAAAATTGGTTTCAGTTCAATTCCAAGATTGACAGGACTAATAATAATCAACAACAATGAATTAAAACTGCGATTTTGTATTAATTTGATACTAGTTATTTTAGTTAAGTGGGAGATAACTAAATTACATTATGCCTATATTCATATTGAAAAACTCTCTCCACATCCACATGTACCTTTGATATTAGGATTGTTAAATACAAATTCACTTGCTAACTTATTTTCTACATAGTCCATCTCAGTTCCAAGAAGTGTCAGTTGTGCTTTCCTGTCTATAAATATCCGTACACCTTAAAACAAAAATAAAAATTAGATTAATTAGAAACATTTAAGGTTAAATTAAATGAAGTGGATACATATCTAACCTACCATCTTGCACTACTTCCTCATCTAGTTTGTCTTTCTGGGACGCATAGTCAAGAGTATAACTAAGACCATTACAACCTCTCTGTCGAACTCCAACCTTTAAGCCGATCTTCACAAACAATGAAAGTGTCAATAAAGAAATCTACCAGTGATTAGCAAAAAAAAAAAATAATTGATACTTACAAATTCCGGCTTGGTTTCTAGAATTGATTTCACTCGTGCCACAGCACTGGGAGTCTAGAGCAAAAGACATCATTAAAAAAAATTGAATAGAAACTTATCGGAATGGTTACATAAGGTCACCCAAATTTTTCTGAGTTTTTAGAACCACTGTGTAGGTCTTTATATAGCATCACTGAAAAGGGCAATTAAAATAGATTATAGTCAGTACTCACCAACACTAAAGCAGCTCTTGTAGGTAAAAGTTTCCTTCCTTTGACAGCCCTTACTGTGGCTGCAGCAACTATGCGACTAGCCATTTTTCAAATTTGGACTATCAGAGACAGCTTCTTACAAGTTATTTAAATCGCTTTTTTTAAGTGGAGAGGAAGTTTGTTAAGATAACAGCTGACAAGAAGCTTAGGTATCAAAATAAACAATTTTATATGCTGCCATAATAACACTGCAGCCTATATCTGTAAAAGTTAGGTTCTGCTAGCAGACGAACTGACGAACACAAACCTCTTCAACAGCTGACTTCACCAATCTGGAAAAAGTTAAAAAAAAAGGCCTTAAATGAATATATTTAAGCATACCCTGAACTAATTTGATTTAATCAAACTGTCTGAAACTTTTGTAACTGCAAAACAAATTACATTTTCGCGATTTCGTAAGATTTTGAAATGATAGGCGGTCTGATATGGTCAATGTGGGGGAACGTTCATGTTTATGTTCATTATGCCCCATGTTGCCATGAGAAAAGTAAATAAGATTATAAATCTTTACATATATTGCTTTATGGGGGCTAGTCCCTTGACGTTTAAGGACATTATTCAAATAAATCTGTTGGGTGTTCTGGATATTTTCAGTTTAAACTCTTTGGCTCTACTCGAAACAAAAGAGGGAAAGGGGAACGTACTCAGTTTGCATACGTGACGTCACCCTCGGTTCTCGGGTCTCGGACTCGGAGCCCGTCGCGAACTTTTATTACTCCCAGAATTCCTCAGGCAACAGTACATGTCCGCCATAAGTGCTGGTGGCTGTACGTTGGTTGAGGAGCTCGTCATTCCGAGACCCAGTACGGCCTCATGCAGCACTCCCCTACGGAGATTAAGGAAAAGTTATTGAAGGCACTCGACAGTCATTACAATGTAAGGGTTAAATAAGATTTATAGGTCCTGCCGACTTCGAAATTCGTCCAAATCGGAAGCATTGAAATACACAGCGAAAGTGGCATGCCCACCTCATACTGGGCGCAAGTTTTCGTAGTATTTACTGACTAAGTAAATACATGGAATACAGTTAAACCCTCTTACCACGTTCAGGGGAGTGTACTGAGCCCGTGTGAACCAAGATTTTGTTAAAATCCGTGTTGGTACTTGGAATTATGTGTGTGAAACCTGGGTAACGGAGCTCTAGGGACTCAGCTTGCCCCCTGTCCCACCTCTCGGCTCTGATACGCGGCACTGCGCCTGCGCACTGTCCTTTGGAATGGTATCCGGTCCTAAGCAGCTTTGCGTCATAAAGGTTCCGGCTGGGAAACATAACCTTATTGTCACTCTTACTACCCTTATTTTACGTAACTGGAGAGCATAAAGTGCCAGACGGGTGCCTTAACAAGTCTGCAGTCGATGCCAGCGCTGTAATAAAGACCCCTCCTTCCTCACATATATCTCATTCATCCGGCCTGTCATTCTGCATCCGACCCGTTTAGGTTAAGATACATTTGTTTCGACTGCACTTTCTCTTCTTGTAATCTTAGGGTTTTTACAGTAGGCTGTTTCGTTCTTCTCGCTTGGGTTTCATTCAATTTCTTAATATTTTTCCCCCCATTATTCTCCACATTTTTTATTTAATGAATACAATTAAGTCACCATAACTTGGCAACCTTAGTTTTTCTAAACTTTCAGTATTGAAAATCCTTTTCCTTACTTATTGTTTTGTAGCATGGATTCATGCATCTTGGTAGGACATTTCTACTTCGATTGTAGTTTAAGACTTTGTTAGTTATAGGATCTTTGAACACAGCCGAGGAACATCTGGTGAAGTGGCACATCTATTTGTGTACCATACCTCTTTGCTAATTAACACATAATTTTATTCTAGGTTGTGGACATGGCAGCAGTTGTCGAGGTCATCTCCATCCTGGAAAGGACTCCTATTACAAAAGATGCTCTGGAAGTGAGTTGTCATTTGTCCAGCCTCTGCAGTTTGTATCTCATGATTTTCTGTCTCAACATTTTATTCTTTGTAATCCTGTTCTGTGCAGACAACAAGACTTGGCAAATTCATCAATGAGCTTCGTCGTAAAACGAAAAATGAAAATTTGGCCAAGAGAGCAAAGGATCTTGTTCGTCGTTGGCGTGACATGATTCTCCCTACGTCTGAGCCAGCCCCACAAACCCCCCAAGCTCCTCCTGGCCAGCAATTCAATGGGGCTACTGGCCACAGTACAGGGCTGGCTAGTGCTGTGGCCAACAGAGTGATATCAAGTGGGCATTTGAGCCCAGGTCTTCCAATGAGGGGTAACATCAGTCCGGGTTTACCTTCTCATGGTAGACACCTAAACCGTAGTGCCACAGTGTCTCCTGCCATGTCGCTGCCTTCCAGTGATCGTAGCAATACCAGTCCAAGACCAGTGTCACGTTCATCAACTCCAAGACCAGGAGACCCAGTTACAATACCTTTCAAACCATCTGCTAGTGCACCTGCTGTAGACCCTGTTCCCAAGACTCATGCGTCAAATAAAAGGTTGCGGAAAGAAGATTCACCTATTGAAGAAAAGCCACTGAAGAAAGTTAAGAGACCTAATGGTCTTTCCACAGAACCTACATCTCATGGTATGGCCAATTCTCTAGGAAGACCTGACATTATCCCCAGTAGAGATGGTAGCAGAGGTAGTTACAGCCCTCCTAGTGATCATGGGTCTAATTCTTGTGAAATTGTAAAAACTGTGCCTTCTGATTCCATTAAAAAAGACTCATCTGAACCCAAGAAAAGAGGTAGAAAAAAAGGATCCAAGAACAAATCCAAGGGTCTGGACTCAGTGCCAGATTTATCTAAAGATGATATTATGAAAACTAAATTGTCCTCTGTAGGAAGAACTCATAGAGTTAAAACAACTCAAGAGCTTTTGGCAGACTTACAAGCTAGAAACACAGGATTACCATCTGAAAATGTGATGCCTAATGTGGCAGAAAATAAAGCTAGTCTCCCCAATTGTCTACTCCCTGGTGCAAGGGCCGAAGACAATGATGCTTTAGAAATGTCCCGCAACAAGACAGAGCACATTGCTAAGTTCCTTCGTTCACAGTCTGACCTTGAGCTCTCTAATCAGGAATTTCCAACAAGTAGAGAAATGACAGAAGATTCTAAAGAGAGACAGTTCTGTCGTGAGGAACTGGATCCAAGTGATGAAGTTTCTTTACCCTCTAGACTTTCCAAAGATGTGAAATCACCTGCTGGTAGTAATTCAAGAGAAGCCCTCTCAGTTGAGAGACCTATTTCAGTACAAGAATTGCGGACAGAAAATCGACAATCACCTGCACATCCAGTTAAAGGTGATAAGACTGTAGAAGAAATTTTATTAAGGTTGCCACCAATTGATGCTGAATCAATTGAATGGGATGTTTCTGAGAGTCCTGCAGATTCACCTCCACCCAAGACAGTGTCAGAAGATGACGTTTGTAGACTACATGGTGAACATATTGATGGTGTTAATGGAATTGTGAATCATGGTAGACAAGACTTGAAAGAAGGTGACATTGATTTTAGAGAGTGGCATGAAACAGTTTCAAGAACTTCATATCAGGGTGAAATGTTACATATACTGCCTTATGTAGTTATTGATTGAAATTTTTGCGAGGTTCATTTACTAGCAATCATGAGTTGACTTCACGTTTTTCATTCTCTTCCATTCGGTTTTCCTTTTTTTCCCTGTTGAAGAGAGGTACTTTTGTTGGGAGCACTCCTTGTGTGATGTGAATGTAGGACTCAGAACTGCAAGTAATACAAGTTTTAAAAAAATGTGTGCAATTCTTTATATTCTGGTCTAATATTAAAATTTAATTCCATATTGAAAAGTAATTGTTTTTGTAAAAACAAATATAATTGTAACGTCAGTATTCAGAGAGCTGCTGAGGTATATAAAATTTCCTAGCAGTGGCAATTCTGTCAATTTGTTTACTTTTTTGTTTGGTTCGAATGTGCCTTCTTTGTTTTGATCTAAATCGCACTTGAGAATTAGCTTACTTACACTGGAGGACATTAGTTTAATCTCAATTTGTATTGATGTTTGTGCATAATTTTGTTCTTAAGCAATGACGAGAATGTGTTATTTCCAGAGCCCTGTGGAGAACATAGTGTTTTAGACTGTCTTTGAGCTTGCCGAAACAATATAGTTCATGGCAATGTACAGATAAAGTTTTAATAAGGATTATGTTTGAGTTTTCCGCAATGATTTGGGTGCACAGTTGTGCTGTTTAACAAGAAAAACTTTATTTACTCTTCAATATGTCTGCCTCTTTTTGTTGCAAGTTGTTGAGTAAGAGAGGTTTTCTTGGAGCACTGTAAGGCATAATTATGAAAGCATCTAAACCATTTCTTTGTTGTATCTAAAATGAGGAGGGTTCATAACTTTAAAAGTTAACCATCGGTAAATTTAAAAAGGAACAACAAACATTTCATTAGTCAATTGGCTTAGGTAATGAGTCCTATGCCGGCTGGCCGGCAGTTTTCTCATTACTATTTGTGATGTTGTGAAAGAGTGCAAACCGTACTTCCAGCACTTTATGGCTACTTTCTTACATCTTGGCTGGCAGCTCAATTCTTCATTTTGTCTTGTCACTAAATTGTAAGGATCTTAGGGGTTTTATTTCCAATTATGGTGTGAGCTGTCTCTCCCTGGACTCTATTCCTATTTCTTGTTTTTGTGTTGTTTTGTTTTGAAGTTTTAGGTCTAGCCTCCAGATCAAACTTGTCTCTTGTGCCTTGAACACCTTATAAAAATAGGGAAAGAACATCATCCAGATAGCTGGAGATGAGAACTTTTTATCAATCTGTGATATTTCAACTGATTTGTCTCGTATTAAGCCACTAGCTCATTTCTCTCAACTACATCTTTTAGTTGACCTACAAGACCAAAACAACTGAAAGGTATTGAGCTGTTGAGCCTTTGAGTTGTATTGCCTGTGGCAAATGTGCCATCGCATATGATTATTAGTGAATATTTTGGGATTTTGGATTATGTTAATGTCACATGTTCAATGTCTAACAGTTGGTACTTTTCAATACCCTATGTTGATGAACCAGTACTTGCATTCTCTGTTAAATTAACTCAGCCCTGCTCCAACAGCAGCTTTTTGTATCTTGTTGAATTCATGTTGTTATGTGTAGCTTTATTCTTGTCAGATTGATATGATAATTTTATACTTACTTCCATGTTGTATACGTCTTTCTATTTTATTAACCTGGACCCATAAGAAATTCAAACTTTTGTCTTTTCCAAAACTAAATTCAACTTGTCTCATAAGAAAGAGCATTATCAGGCTTGTGCAGGTATTGGATTCAATTGCATATGAATGTAGAATTTCTGTTTTGTGCTGGGTGCAACATTTCTGCAAATTTTTTCGTACACACTTGAAGCTGCAAGGGGATAAGCTAATTTGAATACTCAAAATTTTCTATTAAGCTGAGGCAAAACTGTTAATTTCTTATACATATTTGTCAGTTATAGAACTGCTCTTCGCTATATCAATCGTGCTTACTATCCATGCCCTATCTAATCATTCTAAATCCAAATGACAGTGTTGAACCAAAATTTTATTTATTCCATGAATGAAGACTACTAAGGTGTGACCACTCACTAACCAAATCCTTATCAAATCCCTAATCGTTAGAGAACAAAAGGTACTTTCATGATGCTAATGAAACTAATTAAAATGGTTCTGTTAAAGTTTTGTAAGACCACTATGTGGAAACTTGATGGACATGACTGGTTCATACTATTTTGTAGCATTTAGTCTTGTTTAAAGACAATACAATAAATTAGACTGAGGAATGTGTGTTCCACAAAAAGTTAAATGCGCTACAGAATTGTAAAACTTGAGACTTGAATGTTGTTGATTTACTCAGAGTCAGAGCTGAGCCTAAGCACATACACATAATGTTCTGCTTTGATCTTATTTCTTGTGTAATTCAGCAAGGTGATGACAGCTTTCATGCTTTGCTTGGGTGGAAATCTTGCCTAATAACGACAAGTTCATGCTAGTTCTTTTTTCTGGTTTTAACCAAGTTTGTGGACACTTGTTGCAACAGGAGATTTTTTAAAATTTGAAAGTTGAAAAAAATGAAGCTGTGATAATATTCTTAATTACTAGCAAAGAGTTTGACTGGAATATGTTCTTTTTTTTCTAACATTTTCAATATCAGCCTGTTAGCAGAATTATCAGAGTGTATGCAAAGGATTACAGCCACTCTGTGGTTGTGAAGGTTTTACATACAATGTGAAAATAAAAAAAGAAATTAATGCAATTTTCTTTACTTAACACTTTTAGATTTCATTTTACTTGTTTAGGTATTGTTAGGGCAGTAGATACCTCACACAGTCTCTGTAAAGACCATTTGATCACAGCCACAGTTCAAGTCAATTTATTATCAATACATTTTCAATTCCTTTTGTCTTGCAAAGATTCAGGCTTGGGACAACATTTTGCAAAAGTTTCTGCTACCAACAGTGGGAAAATCAAAGTTGCTTCTGCATAAATCTGAAACAAAATTTACATTTTGTTTTTCTGCTCTGCTTTTCATTTTTGACTTCTTTAAGAACCATTTTGCATATTCAATCAAATAACTTATATACCTTAACAGGTTTAGCGTCTTTCCTGATTTTTCCCCAAGAAATAGCTTCATCAGGACGAGCACCACTATCACTTCCATCATACTCTGAAGCAGTATTAATAAATACTGAGAAGTCTGCACCATTTCTCTGCAATAACATGAACAAAACAAACCTGTCAATCATTTTTTTGATTTGAGGGGTTGTGGTGATCCTGAACCTAATGGGTGGTGGATTTGAGAAGAGATTTTTGAACCCTCCCTCCAAATCATGTCACAGTATTTGAATACCAAAGTACGTATATTTGAAGAACCATATCTTACCATGAGATTGGCATTACAAATGTGGTGTTTTACTACACCACCACCAATGATTACCATACCAGTATTCACAGCCTTGACTGCCATTGAGTTTAGCCGTCTCAAATCTTTCAATAAAAAAAAACAAAATAACCACATCAAACAGAAAAAATTGCAAATCATCAACTGCTAATGACATTCCGTACTTACCACTTACAATGTCCACCACAAGGCCTGGACTATTGTAAGAATGAAAGTACATCATATCACCAAGGCTCCCATCAGTTAATGCAGGACTAAAGACAGGAATGTTGTTTTTGGCAGCCCAATAGTAGATGGAATCAGTGTTATTTATTTCCAAACCAAGGCGTGATATTATCTTTGACGGAGTCCACAAAGTACCCTAATAGGAGTTGTGAGATAAAAGATTTAAAAAACAACACTTCATTTTTATAAATTATGCAAAACAACATACCTTTTCTTTCTGTTCACATAACATGCGATCTAAAATGGGCATTACCCAATTCTCAAATTTACAGTAATTATCATTTGGAACAAGTAAATTGCCAATTCTATTTATACCACTTTCTCTGAGTGTGCGTCCATCTAAACTAAAATCTCCTATGTAAGTAGGGGCTAAGCATTTAATTAGATCTTCTTCAACTCCACCTGCAGTTGTAACAATAGCGTCAATCTGAAAAATTTACAAATTTCACTAAAACATTGATTGTAAAAATTGATTCTTGTCTTTCGTCTGTACCATTACCATTCTGTTCTGAACAAGAAATCTTATTGAGTCACGAACACCACAAGAAACCATGTTTGATGTGTAGCCGAGAAAAATTGTGCAGTTATTTCTCCTCCTGATAAAGACATCTTCTTCATAAGAATCTTCTTTTTCTTTTGGAAAAGGAGATTCTCGTAATGCAATCTGGGTAAAATTAAAAACTTAAATAATGCACAAACATGATCAGCGCTTCGGTGTCAAATAGATAAAGATCGTGTACCATTTTCTTGATTTCTTCAACAGCTAATCCAAAATTGGTGGCTTGGAAACCTGAATTAATATATGATCCAAGAAGGGCTTCATAATCTACTCCTTGATTGAAATCATATCCTGTAGGCACAAGATTAATGACGTTTTTATTTGAAGTATTTACTTTCCCCAAAAATGTAACAATTATTTGACTAGTACCTCTGACACATGTTGTTAATGTGTTGGTTTTAATGGTTTTAACCAATACTGCCTCTTTTACTGTATTGGGTACGTCTTCACATTTATTTGTTGAAGTAATTGAAGCCATTTTCTAAAGTTTAAACTTGGAATGAGTCTCGTGGTTTTGTTATAAAATTTCAAAATCAACTATTTTCTCTAACCTCTCTTTTAGCGTGTATTGTCTGCTGTAAACATAATTAAATTTTTCATACTCTACTGCAAATAAGATTCGTTCGTCATCCGTTATTCACAACAGCGATTTTGCCCGCTTCTTTTTGAAATAAGTCTGCCTGTTTATTCAGCATGATTTTTCTCAAGGCATAAGGCATGATAGGCATGATGGCTTTGAGAAATCTCAAGGCAAGGCTGCAGCAGCTGTGGATTATTTGGCTATTTTCTAGAATGTATTTCGTGTGAATGAAGTCTTTTTGGTCTTGCACTCTTGCACACACTAGCAATTATCGCGGGAAAATCTTGTGAGATGCTATTATCTCAAGGTAAAATTTGACACTTGATTTGGACCAAAGTTTGACAATGTGTTTCAGGGATCTGTTTGAAAAAAAACATGCAAATTTTTTTTTCTTAAAAAAGACATTTTCCTTTATTTTTAATAGTGTACAGTTTAAGGACAGGGCAATATATTTTGAAGGCAAGTATAAATAAGGTGGGCACTGTTTAAGGGAACATGATAGAGAAAACTCCAACACATGACTGGTAATACTGAGTTGATTTAAAAGTACGTAATAATGGTACGTATATACAATCTTGTCACAAAAATGAAAAAGATGGATTAGTTTTAATGCATCCATTCATTCCTTTTAACAAAATTCATTTTTAAAAACAATTTACAGGCATGGTTAGCAAACCATCTGTTAGGTACAATAGTTCACAGCACACTCTTCTTTGACTGTTGCTTGCGAATGTTAGTCACCATCTGGAAAAAAAGGAAAATATGACCAGATTAATAATAATTATAAAATACTTAAGTTTAGACCTACATATTTAGGTGATGGGAGATTGACCTCCAATTACCTCTTTAATTGGATCTGGTAGCCTAATTCCCACAGCGTCAGCAATACTTCGAGTAAGAGGTAGAGCACAAATGGAAGTGGTTTTTTGCCGAGGTTTCTTTGGAACAACAGCTGAAAGCAGAGTAAGGCACGGATTGATAAGGATTTACTCAGATAAGAAAAGTAACAGGGCAAATGGTAAGTAACTCACCATTACTTGACGGAGATGAGGTGGTGCTAGCCACTGCAGTTTGGCTTGAGTTGGAACCTCTTCGTTTTGGTGGCCTTCCCCGACGAACATCTTGAAAATAAAATAGAGTTTGATGTCAGAAAAGATCTTGCCTGAGATGCCAATATTTGATCAGAACATTAACAAATTCACAAACCTGATGTAGGAGGTTTTGGAGGTAATGTACTGGGTTGAGCTACTTCGACACGAGTATCACCCATATTTTCATCATCTCCACTAGAAGCAGGGAAATCACCACCCAGATTTTCACCCAAACCACCACCAAGGGCTTTTACAAGCCCAAGATCATCTAAACCTAAGTCAACTAGGTCGGATTCAAGTGCAGTGGATCCTAAACCAAGGTCAGCAAGGACTCCTCCACAAGTAGAATCAATTGTGGCCTGCTCACTTCTGCGTCTACTCGTTCTACCACCACGCTGCACACCTGGTAAAAAAAAAAAAAGGAAATTAAAATTTTTGCTGAGGTTGAGAATATTTAGCACCATATACATGCACTCGCCTATCTCTCTTAAAGCAATACAGAACCCAACACAAATAAGATGCAGAATCAAAATGAAAGATATCCCAAAGAACTCAGTTCATTGGAAATACCTAAATAAGGTGAAAATCCCATGAGGAAACCCATTCTTAAAAATACACACAGCACATTATAAATTTCAATGGCTTTCTTTTGACTTTCCACAATGCTACCAGAATAACGAATCAGTGTGCCCAGAGCATACAATGCCACTAACAATATACCTTTTATTTGTGTCACAATGATAACCTGTGTTTATTTTGAGTATGAAGTCTAGTCACTACATGTCTTACCTCTACACAGGGAATTCATGACAGGTGAATGCCAACTTGGATGAGTTAAGCACTCTCAGGCCCAAAGAGATTTTGCCCATGCAAAATTGGAGAGGTGTAGAAGGTGTGCGCATTTTTAAAATTATTGTTTAATTCAGTCAGAGGAAATACTTTAAAATGGGTAATGATTGGGTTGACTTTTTAAAATGCCCAGGTAGTAAACTTGCCATCAAAATTTGCAGAAGGATTTTCTCTAGCCGATAAATTTAAAGCTATAAAAATATATACCTCTACTATTTTCAAATCAATGTTAAAAGTAAAGTAGCGTTAAATCACAAGACAGTGATGAATACTGTTCACTCAATTCTTAATGTGAGGACGGCCAAAATTTTGCATGGCGACTTGATGAAGAAGAAAACTGGCGATGAAAATCCCACGATGAGTTGGAGTTGTGCACGAGATTCCATGAGATATTTAAATTGATGAAATAATAAATACTGAATAAGTTAAATTAAAGAGCCAAAATCTTGCATGGCATTCAAACTTCTACATTTACTTAAACAAACTAGTAATTTACGATTCAAAAGTAAAAAATAAATAGTTAGAAAAAGGTAAATTTTAAATTTGAATAAATTAAAGAAACATGGAATATCAGTTAGGATGAAATCTTCTCGGATGAGCAGTAGAGACGTCTTCAAGTTGATAGCAGCGGACAGGGATTGATATTTAGTGAAGTTACATACTGTCCAAAAAATTAAGGCATTTGTTAAATTTTAGGAAGGTTTAAGTTAAAAAGATTGCTGATGCCAATGACAAAAATGAGTTATCACACAAAACTAGATGTTAATTTGATTTTAACTGTAGATAATAAAAATTTACATTAACTGCAAATTTACACTAATTTTTAAGGGGTGGGGGCAATTCCTCTTGATAATTGATGATGGTGAGTTGTCTTCATGTGATGAGGAATCTACTTCACTTCATAAACTCAGATGTCAAATTGGAAAGTTAAAAATTCTGGTAGCCAAAAAGATTTTACTTAAGGACTTGCTGCTGTTAAACTTAATCCAACCAGTGTTCAAGTTCATCTTTCCAGTCAAATTCCTGGTTTAAATAGTGCTACAATCCTCACCTCAAGATTAATGCTGAACGCGTTCCTTTCAGAAATGAAAATTATAGGAACTTACAGAGAGGAAAGAGGTTTGAGGAATATGTTATTTCAGATATTAAAACTATTTATGTTGATTCAATTAGAAAATTCATTGAGATTTCAGTGAGTTGATTTTTTGAAATTATGAAATTATTTGGAATAAGCTCCTTTTTGAGGAGCTAAAATGTTCTGCATTTCAAACAAGGGACTACGAAGTTTCTATGAAAAAAGATGATGAAATTGTAATGACCATTTGAGCAGAATCTACAATTTGCAAACAAAAATTTGAGACTTCCCTGCCTTTAAAAGGATTACAAAATAGTTTGTGCATTTCTTAATTAGAGTGAGCAGGATGCAAAGACTTAAAAATATAATAAACAAATGAGCATCCATAGCTCTAGCAAATTAAAGGTGAGGTAGATAAATGGTAGAGATCAGAGTGGAATGGTAGAGCATCAGCCACCCAATACTGAAGGAACACTTTTCCTTAGTCTCCATTGCACAGTGCACAATATTTCATTGGGGGGCTGATGCCTCATCACAGATCTTGCCGCTAGAAATACCAAAAGTACATTGACTTACAGGCATTCAAAAGTTGGTAATGATAACAGCCACATCTCCATAAAAAAAGAAGTGAGATGACATGATCAAAGTCTCTAACAATAATGTTTGACAATGTGATGTTTCCACATGGTTGTTTGGCTCATAAGGAACTTTGAAGAAACCATCCAATACACAATAAACAAAATTACTTAACAAGTTAAAATGTCAAACAAGAATGAAATTAACATAGCAATAAATACCTTGTACAAATAACCCATATTGCACATAAATAAGCTTTCCTGTTATAAACCAAGGTAAGAATTTCAAATTTTCGTACATATTACACGTAATCATCAAAAATAAACTATGAATAATTTCCGAACACCATTTTCTGTTAGAATATAACAGTCATTTTTTTCACAATTTTGCAATTTTTTTGCTTTACAAATTAAGAGAAGATTGGAGAGGGAATAGCAGCCACAATTCGCTTAAAGGACATAATTTGATACTCAAATTGAGCCAGCAAATGTAAAACATCAGATGATCTAGCACAAAACATTGCGAGCTGGTACTTCCTCTGTTCCTCTCTGGGAGCTTCCATCAATAAATAACAAGCTCCATAAATTAGAGGTATTGATACTACAAATTAATTTTGAATATTTCAAATAAATTAGTACTTCCTCTAATATCAATTCTCCACCTTTCACTACTAAAAATAATAATTTAAAAAAATAACAACAGTTTGAGCAGCCAGCTTAACCTGCTCTACTACATAAAAAATGTACAAAACAATTAAAATATCCAAACCCCTTACCATTACAGGAATATGGATTCTATAAAACAACCTATATTAGAATTGTCTTTCAAGTATACATCCCTGTGTTCTCCAAGCAAAACTCCTCAAGTTCTGTCAAAGTATACATTACATCTAATTTATCTAAACAAGACCATAACTTGCTGGTTTTTGACTGAGGATCACAGAAACATCTTATACACTATTGAAATTGCACTATATTCAGGATATAACTCTGGCCCTTTGATAATTAAGGCAAAACATAATAAAATATAATCTACAAAGTTTATACAAATTGATACTAAGTACAGATTGGTTCCTATCTATAATACAGTGATATTTCAGCTAAAGGTCTGGTGAAATTTTCTTAAAAATATTATTTGCTATCTTGCAACAGGTTTGGGCAAGGATTTCTTGCGACGCTTCACATCATCAACAGAGAAACTTTGAGTGTCATGGCTGGTGGCAATGGTAGCAGAAGAGTACTGCTTGGATAAAGATGCCGAGCTCCGTGTCCGACGGCTTGATGCAGGTGCTTTACGTTTTGGTGCACTCACTGCCGCGTCAGCTTTGGACTTGGAACTTGGTCCAAGTATTGACCTGATGCTATGGTCTATGTTCGAGCTATTGTACATGTCAGTGGTACAATATGGGCAGTATTTGAATCCAGTAGCATTCTTGCATTTACCACAGCAATGATTTTTGCATGCATGGCACTTTGACTGCTTGTCTGTGAATGCACTTGAGTTAAGAATGCTAAAGTCGTTCACTGTTGATAAGCTGTTGTTTGTACTGCGACCAGTCTGGTAACATGTTCCCTCACAACTTGATGACAAACACACAGAACACTTCAATTCAGTACTTTTGCATGAGCCATTGCATGAGGGTATTTTACAAAGTACACATCTTTGCACCTTGCGACTACTGGAACTGGCTACAGAACACCGTGAATGACTTGTCATGCACTTCCCACTACAAGCAATAGATTTGCACTGAATGCATTTAAGAACAGTTTTAGCAGCCTCTTGAACGATGACCTTCTGAACTCTCACGCTGTTACTTGATGAAGTAGTAGTTTGGCAACGACCTCCACAGTTAACAACTTGACAAACTGGACATTTCATACCAGTAGAAAGAGAAACGGATGTAGCTTTCAGAATTCCATTAACTGTTCTGCGCTGTAAATCTTGAGCTTTAGATTTATCTGAGCTTTTGCAGTGTGGAAATGATTGCTTCACATTTTTGCATTTGCCGCCACAATTAATAACATTACAGCAGCGAGTATCTCTCTTCTTAAAATCTTGGCATTTGCCCTGACATTTTGATTGCCTGCAAATCTTGCAATGAGTATCGAATCTACTAGAAAAATTAGTAGGTGCACCTGCTCCCACATTCTGCACAGACACATGTTTCTTTGATGCACTCATGTCTAATGGCTTGCAATCACGAGAATCTTCAGATGCAGAAACTGATAGGGCACTAACAGTTTTCACTGGCATGGTACTCTGACCACTAGGCCAACTATACTGACTGTTCATCACAATAACACTTTTACTTATGCCCTGAACCTGTGCAATGCTTATCATAGGAGCTGAAGGATATGATGATTCACCATTGACCATTTTACCATTTGATCTTACAACATCACAAACAGGGGGAATAGATTTACGTTTCTTAAGAGGTAGATTTAAATTAGCAGCTAAATCAGATTTACATTTGGCCTCTGCAACAGAGGCTTCTCTAACACGCACAGCTTCCTCTGCTAGAATTTTGAGAGCGTCTGAACCCTCCAACATTAAATTATTACTACTGGTATGGGATGTGGACAAGGGTGTAGACAATGGGTTTGGTGAAGAATTGATTAGAGCTCGGGGAAGTTGAACATTGGGAGAAGTTGGAGACGTTTTAAGTTGGGGAGAGGAGATGGTACTTTGAGGGGGTGACAGGAATTGAGTTTGGTTTGGAGAATGGGATAAGACTTGAGATTTGAGTTGAGTTTGTGGCTCAGCCTGGAGTGGATGTGGAGCTACAAGCTGAGGTTGAGTTGCAGGTTGAGTTGGGGTTTGGGGTTGAGTTTGGGTGTGGGCTGGGGCATGGATTTGAATTAAACCTTGGGGTTGGGTCTGAGCCTGAGTGTGGTTTTGATTTTGAGCACGAGCTTGCATGTGAGAAAAGTATGCTGCTTTGTAGCGAGCTAAGACATGAGAAGGAACACGCATAACTTTACCCCCCAACATAACTGTTTGCCATAACATACCTTGAGAGGCTCCCTTTCCGGCCTTCATGTCTTGTCCAAGCTTGGGTTCCTCACTCCCTTCTGGTGCGGCCTTGGACTCCACACCAGCATAACATGAGAGATCTGAAGACGATCCAGTGCCTGATGATTGATTGATGATCGTGCTCTGAACATTTGAAAAGTCTGGGACACTTGTCCACCTGAATTTGAACTCATCTTCATCTTCTTCAAGTAGGGGGCTGCCTTGGAACGGAAGAGAGCCAGTCACATCAGCGCGGCGATACATCATTGATGATTGGTCTATTCCTTCAAACGATCGGCAGTTGAAGAGATCGTCATTAAGACGAAACATGCCACCAAATTCTGGGAATGAATCATAGACTGCAGCCTCGTCAGCAGCTGGATCATTCCCACTGAATAGTAATAGATCTTCTTTAGCAACTTTTCCGTCCATATTCAATGAGGGTTTTAGATCTAATGGAAGGCTTACATCTGTAGAAACTTGTCTAGATTGCAAAATTTCTACAGATGAATCACACTCATTGGTGTCAAGATGTGAGGGTGGCACAGAGCCTGCATCAGGGCTAACTGAAGATGAAGCAACCGCTTCATTATCAGAGCCAGGCTGAGCATAGACCAATGACTCGAGAACAGAGTGCTGCCTACTACTTGTGGGCATTTCAGACTCGCACGGATCTACTTTTACATGAGTCTGTGCCACTCCAACCTTGTTCACCTGTTCCATCATAAAGGCAGACCCCAAACAACAGTCCTGAACACCTTTAGCTGCACTTGAAGCAGATATTGGATCTGCTGCACCTTCAGTCTTCAGCATCACAAATTTAGGATCAGGTACAGAGGTTTCTTTTTTCTTTCTATTGTCTTTTCTTCTTGTTTTGTCTATTACATCTATTCTAGAATCAGGACTATCAGGTTGTAGCTTTTTCTTTTTAGGAGATACAGAATCATTCTTTTCTTCCATTTGAACTTCACTAAACATGTCAGATTCCTCTAGCAGACAACTGCTTGATTCACCATTCGATATTGTACTCCAGATGTCATTGATAAGGCTACAGCTTCCACTTTCTTCAACCTGTAAAATAGAAAAGAGGAACAATGTACAAACAATTGAGTATTTAGACAGGTGTCCAAATTATAAGCTCTAGATAGATGAAATTAAAAAAAAAAAAAAAAAAAAAAAAGAATTAAAAATCTTAAAATCTAGAAGTAAAAAAAAAAAGAGTGGTTAGAAATTACATCATTCATGTTTCCTGAAGAAATCCTAGATGAAATTACAAATGGTTTTTCTATTTCCTCAGATGTTGTCATATTTCGTCGATAAACATTAGAACGGGAAGTGTCTTTACAGTATCGAAACAGGGCCTGTAACAAATTAATTTTTAATATTGCAAAGGGAGTTGTTGGATATTTTAACACACGCACAAAGATAAATAATAATGCAATTCATACCCTGCAAGCATCTTTGACACTGAATTTTGCTCCAAGATAGAACAAGGTACAATTTTTCTTTGACTTGGGAATTCTTGGTAATACTTCTGTATGGCATCTTGCTATTTCATGATCCTACAAAGTTAACATACAATGAGGTAAAGAAATCACTTAAATGATTAAAAAAAAGAAAAAAAAGATAGTAGTAAAAGTGGTCTTAACCAGAAAATATTCAGGGGGAGGGTGAAGTCGTTGAACTGCCAATTTGTTGATGGCTCGGCGTTCTTCCACATCTGCTACGACATTTTTCCATAGCTTGAATGACAGCAGAAATCTAACGTATGTCAATTCTGCAAGAGGCCTTCGTACCACAAGTTCTGATAAAATTTTCCTAAGAAGTGGTACACAAACCTTCTTGGAATGCTTATTAATAAGTTTTGTTTTTAAGAGAGCATCTAAAATATGATCTTCAGAGTGATCTGAAAAGGGGGAAAAAATTACAATTAAATTCAAGTATGGAATTCCCAAGCAGTTTTCTATAAGATAGGGCAAAATAGGAAACTCACCTAGGAAAGTATACAGAGATGTAGAGAGCTTATTGGTAACTGTTTTTTCAGTGTCTTTTCCTCTCCTAAAAGAAACAAGACAGTCATTAAGTGTTGAACAAAGATCGATAAAGACAAGTCTTAAGAGAATGTATCTCACCGAGCAGCAGTAATCTCCAAATCTAGGTACATGGCCATCAGTTCTGTCATCTTATCATAGTAAAATGCATTTTCTAATGGCTGCGGAGAGAAGGGGATTGAAATGAAATATTAGAACAATCCAGAAGGAATCCAATTTCATAGAACTTTGATACTGTATTTGTAAAAATGTATTATTTTACAAATAGAGAGAGAGAGAGAGAAACAAGATGGTCATGGTTCTGAGCAAGCATTCTCTAACATACTAAATTCACATTACACCACAGCTACTAATAAAAACCATAAGATAAATTCAGCTCAGCTCAGCTCTACACTACCAGTTTACTCTTTATCAGGGTGGGACGACAGGATGAACAACATAATAGAAAAATTAAAGTAGCTGACGAGTAATTGCTTTATCATCTCACCTCCCTAATATCCATGTAGAGCATATGGAAGAAGATCATAGTGTCGTTGATGTTCCGCTTCAACTTGGCTGCTTTGTTTGGTAGCTTGTGGCAGTCCCGGTAGTGTGGTGTCACATGCCTGTGAGCACAGAGTGACATGATAGTTTGAGAGCATTCAAAACTCAAAATTCTCAAACTTTCAAGTCCACTCTGGGAAAACCTTGTACATGGCTAAAGCTATGCTTAATGTCAGTGTACAAGGATAGTCCCAAAAAATGAGAGGACCTAGCAGGGAATAAATAACCTAAGCCTAAGCACTAAGAAAATTAGTTTTCCCATTTAAGCTGTAACTAAAAGTGAAAGGATAGTACTGCATATGAGACAAAGGAAAGGTCAACCTATCAGGATAGGGTAAATTTAAAACATAGATAATTTAACCCATGATAAAACTTCAGCTATTAGATTTTTATCTTGACTCCAACTGTGTAACTTCTCATGCATCAGGAAGCCTCATCTATGATAAAGATATAACAAAACCTGTGCTATAAGCTAATAACAGGTTTCAGTACAGAACATACTGCAAATCATTACTATAAATGAAGTTGCCTGAAGGAAAAATTGAAATCATGATGGTGGAGGAACTGCCTGACAAATGGCAAAGACCTTCCTTCATATTGATTGGGTTTAATCAACCAAAAATATATAAATATTTACGTTGATACCCATCATATTCAATGAAATAGGGAGCTTAATTTCAATTCTTCCTAATTAAAGTGAAGGGAAGCAAGACCGTATACTCTAATAGTTTCTAGGAAGTATGAGCAGCCAAGCCCATGGGTAGAAGTGTGACCTTCAAATTATTTTACCTCAAAATAAGAGTAGCAATTTAAACTTACTCTATATACACAGTGAGTAAATCATCCAGTTGTTTCATACTCTTGGATCCTACAGCAGAACGACACTGCTTGGAAAAGGTGTTGAGCCATGGAAAATTCTTCTCCTGAGCATTCTCTTCCGTACTGCACCCTTCTGCCTCAGGACTTCCTTGGCTGCCTGCATCACTCATGGAACTTGAACAGTTCAATCGACTGACTAATGCTGAGACACCTGAAGAGAAACAAAAAGCAAAAGAAACTGTGTTTAGCAAAGAGTGATAATAGGAATGCTACGGAACTAGAAACAGAAACATGTAGTTGATTAACGTCAAATTATTGGTTAGCTTAAACGTTTAAAACAGTGCAGAAGCTTCAAAAACATTTAACATTAAAATAGTAATTTTAATGCTACATAATATATATTTGTGCATACATTATATTTTGTATAGATATCACACATAGAAATGTGTGTAATGAAGGAAATTGCCAGGTGCCGAGGCATCGAAATATGCTCCCTAGTGACGGAGTGTGTTTGACGAGCGAATGAAAACTGCGAGTTTGGTGTAGTAGGCGACCGCCCCAACCCAACCCCAACCTCACAGCTGTCATCGTTGCAAGCAAGCCGAGCGGATCGATATAACCTCCCACTGACATCGCCCCGACGACGATGGTCAGCTCAGATGACTAAAATGTGTACAGTTTCAGTAGAAATTGTAAAACGCGAATGAAATGCCTCGTCCGAGATAAGTTAGCAGGCCAATCTAATGGCCAAGCCGTTGGTAGCGGACAAGAACGCTTTGCGTTTCACTCGGAGCAGAGAGGTTAGGCGGACGGAGGAGGAAGAAAGGCAACGGTACGAGGAAATTAGGACCGTGAGGGGGTGGGTTTAACTCAGAACGTCCTCGCACAGTGATGAAGTGAAAAGAGAATGTACGAAACACTTGTAAACTCACCCAGAGGATGCTCAGCCCCGTGCTCTACAAGCTCTAAGGTTTCATTCGTATAACTCGTCGCACGCGTTTCCGAAGCGTTCATTTTTACAGCAAGCATTAAAACAGACTCATAGAGTGTTAAAAATACGTTTACTTCTAAAAAGTACGGATAATAAATAAGTTAAAAACGAAAGCATGTTTGGCGACATACATTTCGCTTTGTTATGGTTTGATTTTGTTTCTAAAAAGCTGGGGTGCTCTCCTGGACTCGTGCCTGATGCGGATGTGCACGCGGTCAGACGCGGTCACTTTCTGACCACCGCCTACGCACGTACGCCATTTCTGACTCCGGACACAAAAGCTTGGCGCGAAGAGTCTCAAATCCTATGATCTCCCTTTCCCTTCGTCCTCGTTTGGACGCCGGAGGCTCCAAGTTCTAGAGTTCAGAGAGGGGATCCGCCACACTTCGTCCACACTTAATCTGACGGGTTCGTTGGCGTGGTTTTGAGGGTTGCGCCGTGGGTTGCGAACATACCTACAGAAGTTTCGTGAGCCTTACAGTGGTCATTCCCCGCCCCCGATGCCCTTGACTAAGGTTAGTACCGACGTGATTACCCAAGGTGTGATTACCGCTGCAGAGCTTCTGCAGGAATGTATAATCCATGCACTCACAGTGAATACAGCACGTTTATTCGGTCAGGGGAAGCTCCTAGGGGTGCGGTTGTGGCACTTTCAAGGTGCCCTTACACTCAGCGTATTCGGTGTCCGCGGACGTGTCCGGCTGTGTCCGTTTCCTATTTTCCGTTGATGTTTCAGGCAGAAATTCTAATCAAATGTACGACCGTATATCCTGGACACATTTTCTAACGTTTGGTAATAAAAAACCATATCTGAAAACGGTTTAACATCAATGCGGATACAGCGGACAGGCTGAGTGTAAGGGCACCTTCACTCGGGCACACTGCTTTCTGGTGCCAATACGCCCCCCCCCCTCCGTTTCCTCTTCCCTCTTTCCGCCTGCCGTTAAATCATGCGTCCTCAATTGAATCTGTCTGTACCCTTGTTAACTGTCAGGCCAGCGCCCCTCGCTCCGCCCGGCGGGCAGCACTATATGTCCGCGATATCGCCATCGCCACTAACACAACACGCTCCTCGTGTTTATTTTTCAGTTGTACAACCTGTTGTTGTTATTGTTGTTGTTGTCGCTGCTGTCAGTTTCGGACGTGATGACGTGATCTCGTCGCGCACGGAGGCACGCGGAGCGTCAATGGCCATGGCACGGGCGCCGGGCACAAAAATACAACAACCTGTTTTGTTTTCCTCTGACTTTTGAACGGTGGGGACTTTAATGGAAGTGAAGGGTGTGTAGCGGATATGCAGAAGTGTCCGGCTGCTTTGTGGCGAATCTATGAAAGTCAAGTGAGAAGGGTGGCAAGAACAGGTTAGGTGCGCAGCCGGTGCGGGTCTGCTCTGCTGCGGGGACGAGACAGCTGCACTTATCGCCATCAACGACAAAAGTGAGTATCTTACAAGCTTACAAGTGCTTGTGACAGCGCATGTGATCACTCCTCGACGGAATTTCACGGGCCGTTTTATTGTGGATTCCGAGTTTTCGAAACGCAAGCGGGATTTGAACGCAGCCAGTGGGGAAGCGACTTTCAAGTTGCTTTCATTTACGCCTGGCGTCATAATCGCGCTCGCGCTTTGGGAACTCTGAAGCTGAATCCCCCTCATACATGGAAGGGTTGCATAATGGTTGTTGTTTTACGGGGGCCGTGAGGAACAAGATGGTGGTCCCCCGCCCCCTTGGTCGCCCTCACCCCCTTGCCGGCGCCGCTTCCCCTCCCCCCTTTCCCCCACGACTTATGTGTCCTCCCCCACCTTCCACACATCTCTCACTCGGAGGCAAAGGGTTCGGATGAGATAGAGGACGACTCCACGGTCACGTTATGTATCCCTAGCGAGCCCCACCCTGCCGTCCGTGCGTCACGCGAATATCGCGGCCCCATTGGGGGGTCAAGTTGGCAGAAGGGGTCTTGATTAAATAAAATGAGACGAGTCAAAGAAGCGTGAGCGTGAGGGAAGCGTGTCCGCCACCCCCC